GGACAAATGTTGACCTTTCCATGTAGGTCCAGTCAGACCATCTCTTACACAGTGAGAAATATACACGAGCATATTATAATGAAGGAATTAGATATTTGTTATTGTAAAAACTAATCTGATACAGTACGTGGTTATAAACAAATAACCCAGTAATTTATATGACTGTACACAGACTTTGTTTTAAAAAAAAAAAAAACCCTTTTAAGCTACTTACATTTATTTAAATTGAATTTCTGTGTCTTTTCCTGCATGATGAATGCACTGCAGTGTTATAAATATCACTTCCTTGTCCCCAATGTCTGCAGCATAAACCCAGGGAACTGAATTTGAGTGTGAAGTCAGTGAGGTCAGGAGGAGCAGAAATGGGCTCAGAAGCAAAACATCATGAATTTGAAGCTCTACTGAGGTATTTTATTTTTCATTTTCATTCTATCAAAGGTTTTATTTTTCAATTTAAATCTTCTTTGTAATAGAAAGTCTAACAAGGACACCCAGGAGAGGTTAAGGTAGAAACTGGAGGTGGCTGCAGTAATGGCCTAGCTGAGCACCTGAACGGAGGAAACGCAGCATTTGTTGATGTGCATGGGTTCTAGAGTCCAGGTAGACATTTTCCTCAAAGGATTAAAGGGAAGCTTAATATTTACAGTTAGTTTGTCTAATTACTTCTGACCAAAAATATTCCTAAACAGTTAATTTTCAGGGCGGATGGAGAGTAAGGATGAGGATCCAAATGCAGGAAGCCAACTTTACCTGAAGGTGAGCCTTGAATATGACGATTAACAGGAAGACCAATATAACAGATTAGAAAGTAAACAAACAAACTGACCCTTCACTTAGAGTGAAACCTCAGCAGAACTTTGAACTCAAATACATTCACCAAGAATTAAAGACCCCAAACTATTAAAATGAAAAATTATTCAAGTTATGCAACACTCTGTAATCATGTACTAGAATCATGCACTACTTTAGCTCATTACCTGTAAAATGTAAAATGTCACTTGTTGAGCTTTTTGAAAAGTTAAATATGAAATTACCTGCCACTTTTTGAAAACGTTTTTTAACATAAAAAAGCACTACTCTTTTTTGTTGTTGCTCACTCCAGTTCTGTTCAGCTAGCAAGACTAAAGTACTGAAGAAGTCAAAGTCAGCTTTATTGTCAAAAACCATATGTACAGATCATACACAAGCCACGGCCCTCAGAGTTACACTAAAACAACAGGAAGATAAAAAGATCAATACAATCTTATATAAACAACAGTGTTCAACACAGTCTGAGTGTTTGTGGGTAAGAATTTGTGTGCAAGTGTGGTGAGGGAATCAGTGAAGGGCCATGGTGAAGGTTCAGAGTTTCTTTTTTTTTTTTTTCTCTAATGAGAGTTTCTTATGTCTGGGGGGTTCAGGGGGAAGAGGTGAATGCAGGTCTGGAGTTCATGAGAGTTGAGAGGGACCGAGCAGGGAGAGAATTCAGCATCCTGACAGCCTGATGTATGAAGCTGTCTCTCAGTCTGCTGGTTCTAGCCCGGAGGCTCTTCAGTCTCCTTCCCGATTGCAGCAAACTGAAAAAGTTGTTGGACGTATGAGTGGAGTCACCTGTAATGCAGAGGGCTTTTTGGGTGAGGTGGGTGCAGTAGACGTCCTGGAGGGAGGGAAAAGGAAATGTAGCTTTTTCTATCAGGACACAGTGCAGGAGCCATATCACACATTGGAATATGAATAACATACAGACACAGACAGTTGATTGTTTGGGCTTGTTCTATCAGATATATTGAGACCGTGAAGTTCAATATTTTTCAGTTTTTATGCTTAAGGACAACAGATGGAAATTAGCTCTTGGGTATAATCTGGTATGTTTACATTCATGTAATTCTTTTTTACATTTATGTTCATTAACATGCACTGTCCTAAATAAATAAATAAATATGCAGATTGGAATGTGACTTTGTGGAATGTGTCAATTTAAAGTTACTTTGTAAACTGTTGCTGGAATTTTAACCCCTTTATTCTTTACCTGCTTAGTTACAGCTGCAGAATATAGATAACATTTATTTTATGCTGATTTCAATTTTTTTTTTTTACATTATCACAATATCAACTTCATAATTTGGGAATTATGTTAATCCAGTATATAAAACTCGGTTAATAAAATGTCTTCCCTCATTAATACCCCATAATCATCTGAAGGTGGTCTTACTGTAAGATGGGAGCATTGAAGAACCACATGAAGTGCCAGACGACATAAAGTTAGATGGCAGGGTTAGTGAGTGCAAAGACAGAGTGCTGAAAAAGTCTCCAATGTTTTGGTGACTAAGAAACTCCAGAGTTCCTCTTCTGGAACTAAAATTGTGATGTGGGTTTTCATGGCCTGTAGGTGTAATGTGTAGGTGACCCCATACGTTTGTCCATATAGTATTCCACACCGCCTACCTCCCCTTAAGCCATGTTGACCCAGGTTGATGTGACTGTGTCTCAAAGAGCCTCATTTGATGAGCAAAGTTTATCTTAGTCAGCACTCTTAGGCTTTCTTTAAGCAGCTCTCCAAAGCTTTGAGGTGTGTTTGGCTTCAATATATCCAGGTTTATCAGTTACTTTCACTATGCCATTTATATAAGCATTTGTATCACCTTGTATTATTTTGCTTTATTCTTCATTAAAGTTTCATTTCACAAAGCTGAACGACTCCATCAGACAGTGAATGTAAAGGTGTTTTCATGCTGTGGCCTTTGTTTTGGAATTCATCAGTATGCTGGTTATGAAAATGTGTCAATAAAAGCAGTTGAAGGTGAATGTGCACAATGTGACATATTAGGACGTTTACAAAGGCATTATCTGAATGCGGGAAACGTCTCTGATCTGCACAAAAGGTTGCATGAATGTAATGTGGTTCGTATGCTGCTAAGAGATGGTGGTGACTATCAAAGCGGAGCCAATGAGATTTGATAAGGGAATCAGAGGAGTCATTGTCATTCAAAGGAATAATACATACATACAAAAAACACCTTTCATAACAGGGAACACCCTCAGGTGCATTTTTGTAAGTCTCTTCTGTCACTGCACTGGATGAATTTTACTCATCCATCCTCTGCTTTTCTGTTGTGGGGTTCCCTCTAAGAATCCTTTGCCCTTTCTATAATAAGTACAAGTGATGCATCAGAAAGCAATGACATTTAAGTCACTCTTTTATCTCAAAAAACAAACAAAGTTCTTCAGCTAGCTGTATATCTGGACAAGAAAATAGAACACAGTGGTTTCAAACTGTTGATGCGTATGTATTTTGTCTACACGTCATTAAAACACTATACATTTTCTTTTTCACAGTACATTTTTTGTGTCACATGCATGTGTTTAATGGCAACACGTGTTTCTTAAATTGAGGTTTGCAAACTGGCACGGTTGAAAGTAGGTGCATGAAATGCATCTAAATAGGTTACGGGTGCATTTGTAACCTGGGTTTTGTACACATCTAAAAGCAGCACTGATAAGATCTTGGGAACATCATGAAATCTCCATCACTTCAGTCTGCACCACGAAACATTTGCATAGAGATGAGAACTGAGTCACGTTGTGCTTGTAACGTAGTTTACCCTGGAGGAGGCAGAAACTTTAGCTGCTATTCTTTGTTTGTAAGCCCTCGGATGAAATTCTTTAGCTAAGAAACCCTGAACTTTGACTTTTTACACAAGGAGATAGAACAGTTTGAGGGCTAGTTTACCCAACAGAAAAGAGGTTCTATATCTGAAAATAGTCATGTTATGAAAACTTCAAAGCTCTCTGCCTACAGAGTACAAAGTGAAAATGTGGTGGAACTGCACAGTAAAAACAGCACAGTTTCTTAGAAAACTCTCGAGTGTTGTTTTTTCCAGTTCTCTGTGGCAACATCACTGAAGTAGAAATCCAAACCAAATATTTCTGCCTGTAGGACCAAGACAGTCTAATCCACAATTACAATAAATTCAGCTCCCATGACACAGAGATTTGACCTCTGAAGCCTCATTTACTGTTTCTTGTTCTGCAGTTAATTTCTAGCTGATATTATAGGCTCTGTGTACATGACCTTAACGTATATTTTCCTCCCTATGTCAGCAATGTTAACAGTATCTAGCAGCACAATCACCGGAGCTGGAAAAGAAGCCAATGCTTCATTCAGACTGCACTGCCCTGAGTAATTACATGAGCTTGTTTCTATGATTCAGTCCCCAAAGACTTGCAAATAGAAATAACCACCTTTACAGCAGAAATTATAAAGTTTAAAGCTTGGTAACAAAATTCACAAAATCTGTCCATGAAGGGATTTTTTACATAACTATCCCCTTTAAACTGTACAGAGGTGAATAAGGACACAGCCCATAGCCACTCACTATTAGCCAGTAAAGTCATTAATATAGACCTCTTGACCTCATGACCTCTCCCACGTGTGCACAGAGCCAGTCTGTGGGAGTCAGAATTGTGGCTGGGCTGTAGAGGATCATTTCTCTCAGTGTCATGCAAACCAGTTTAGAACTTTTTTGTGATGTGTGTGTTTTTTTATTTTCAGTTAATTGTCTCTCTCCATTAAGATGAAACTATCATAAAAATCAGAGACTTTTCATTTCAAGTGAGCAAGCCTACAAATTTAGCCGGCAATCAAATAATTTTCTTTCTTTCTTTTTCCTCAGAATTTCAGTGGAACAGTCAGTTGCCCCACTTTCACTTGTGTAGCTCTAAATTTGGTACAACTACAGTTAAGTAAGTTTTTATCAGGTTCAGTAAGATCAGTACATGCTGACTAATTGTGATAAGCATAAAACATCTCAAATTTTAAGCTTTGTGGTAGAAGCAGCAGGAGTTTTTTGACCTCCAGCCGGGCCTAGTGATGGGTACTCATTTGGGTTGTGAGTCAGTCTATTCCCCATCTGCTTGGGGAAACACAACTAATTTTGTGAAAACCACACACAAAATGTCAGGCATGATTGTGATCAGTTTCCTTTGTCTACTAAAACCCCGTAAAAGAACCTGAAAACTAGAGGTAACCTGTACAGATATAAACACTGATTACACTCTCCCCCACTTCCGCTGATTCTAATCTGTCAAATGTCCCCTTACTCTAACTTTCTTCCGCAGTTGCACGAGCGGTGGTTTGAGTGTGCTTTCGTGTCGGGGATTTCTGAGTTTGGGGCGGAAAGGTTGACATCACAGAGATAGAAAAGGCATAGGATTTATATTGGATGCACGGCTGGTCAACATCAGATAAAACACGACGAAGACGATCCTCCTCATCCCTCCTCTCTCAGCATCATGAAGACTCTCTGCTTCTCTCTGGGACTGCTGCTGCTTGCAGCCTGCTGCTGTGATGCCATCCGTGAGTGTTTATTTCTTTATGACTCCTTGCATTTGTTTGTAAATTTACAGCTGACGTGTTGATACTGACTTTAGTCTTTTACCTTGCTCTCAGCGAAAGGCGTGAAGTTCAGCACAGCTCCTGGAACCTGCTGCTTCAACTTTAAAATAAATGCAATACCGGTGAAGTTGGTGTCCTTCATCACCCAGAC